TGTTAAAAATTAATACTTGAAAATAGTATAAATACAGAATATTATTAATCTTACTTTATTTAACCAGCTATTTGCATGTGAATAATAATTGTCCGCTTCCAGTTTTCCAGTTTTTGCTTTCTGATATCTTCCTCTTTGATAGTGATGTAAAGTACTTAAACATTCATTTATTTGCTTTCGTGAGGAATTGAAGCATAGGGTCATAGATTTTATTAATTTGGGTATCACTTTTATATTTTTTTAATCACATCACTCGAAAAAACTTCATCTATCCTCAGTTTATATTCGTCAGAAATAGTTTTTATTAAGATCTTCATTTCTGCTCTTATTTCTTCTGATTTTGACTCATTTTAATAATTGGTTTTACTAGTTTTGTCTCTTTATACTTCTCCTAGATTGAATTCTTCAGTGCTTTCCTAAACTCAGCAAACTTTCAGATTTTGATATATCAGCTGCTCTAGATTCTACAACTATAAGATCAAGTTCAGGTTCTACAGATTTGATCTGATCAATTTTCTTTTTTAAATCTTCTATTTTATTTTTTTGCTGTTCTGATTTTTTGGAAAACTTATTATTAATATATAGTATTTCATTAGATTTAATTGTTTTATAAATTCAATATTTTCTCTTTCTAGTGTTTCAATCTATATACATAATTCTTTGTTTTCTAAATAAATCATTTGATTAATTAAGATAAATTTTAATAATTTGGCAATAATTTAATTTTAACCTTTTTAATATTTTTTCTGATTCGAGTTTTGAGTAGCAATTTAACTTTCAGCATTAATATTTGTGTAACTTTAGATGTCAATATTTCAGGCAATACAATAGATGACATTCTTCTAAACAATTAAGCAGTCATAGTAGGGATTGAAGATTCGACACTAGGTAATACTGAACAAACTGTTGTCATTTCTAATGCAGTTGATGCAAAAAAAGTTTGTGATGGCAGGGAAGATTATGAAGACTGTGAAGGTGAAGGTACTTATTCTCTGTAAAAAGTGCATCCAGTTAATTTTTTTTGTTCAAACATTTTAGGTATTAGAAAAAAATATTAAATTAAAGGGATATTTAAATAAAATTATCTGTATTGTTTTAATATAATTCAGGGTTACATACAATATCATACTATTATTTATTATATTATATTATAATTCAGAGTCACATACTATATTATACTATATATTATTCATCATATTATGCTTGTATTATATTATAATTTAAAACTATTTAATATATCAATCACAAATTTTTCACTTTATGTTACTATTTGCCAATTTTAAAAATGTCAAGAAAGTATTTAATTTCAGCTTTACTTAATAAAAGTTTAAGAAAAAATTCAAAAAAAGTAAAAATTACTTGTAACTATAGTAAATGCAATGAATTATTTGTTGACCCATAAATGGAATTTCTGTATAGATATCAAAAAACAAAAGGTGAATATTTGATAAATGAAGAATTCACATTTCAGCACAGAACAAGAAATATTTCATCAAGTCAAATTATGTTGTTAAGCAACAATCAGCAAAATCCAAAATTGAATGATGCAAGTTCTGAAAATGATGAATATGAAGTTTATGATGATGAAGAAATAGATGATATATTTGAAGATTATTTGGTACCAAAATATGAATTTTCACCAAATTCTAGCAAATTTTCGAATGATCATTTTATGTGGATTTTGTTATAGATTATGAACTATAAAATTCGATTTAATTTATCAAATAGTGTAACAGATACAGTATATTCGTCCTTAAAGGACCTGCTCGTGTGACCTAATTTATTTATATTAAATATTTTTTCCGATAATTAGCTAACTATGTGACTCCGATGTATAAAAATATCAACCTTATTTTTAGCACCTTGTACTAGCTCCGCTAAACTTCATAATCATTCGGGGGTCAATGTGATGACCAGCTAAGCGATCCACGATTTATCAGCATTACATAATCTCTCGCTAATTAAACTGAATTAACATTCTTAGTCTGTGGGATGATTTACATGATTATCTTTGATTACGCAAGTATATATGCTATTGGTAATAAAGAAATACCTGATTACGTTTACTGTTAAGTTAAAAAATCGGTCTCGCATCTTCTCCACTTTACGTGAAAAAAAATGATGATCGAAACATAACCCTATAAAAAGATGCTGTCTTCCCTTCTGCAAAGCTAACGTGGCATTAACAAAGGTCTTACAAAAATAAACTCATCGGACTTAATTTCACTTATCTTAAATCTGTTTCACGAAAATTAAGGTAGATATATCACTGCATTGTTTGTATGCTAGGTTACCCCACACTCGTGTATATGTTAACGAACATTTTTCCGGTTGTAGATACCTATGATCAACGTTTCAGATAACACCCTTTTATGGTTCTATCTGTATCTCTGTTTTTCTTCCTAATCACGATATTTCCCGAAACTGTTCCTCTGTATATGGGATTGCCGGCATGTGCTTCTTTTTGTACTATGTCGGAGAAAAGGTTATCAACGAACTCTCCGCACGTGAATTCAAAATTAATGATATTATCGCTGTGGAATCGATACGATAAATCTACCGCGGAAACACAAACATGATGCACATTACATCGCAGAAGCACAAGATATAATATCAATGGTCAATAACGTGACTACAAGGATTGGTGAATCTTAGATCGATACTATAATGGTTTCGGTAGAATTTCATCTGAGATCGAATCAATCAATAGAACTACCAAAAGAGGATCCGATCAACGAATGAAGCATCATCATCCTCTGCGCATTCCACATATACCACTCGAACATCACCAAATTCTTTATGTAAAGCTTCGATTATACGCTTAGGCCTTTAAGGACAACTCTTCGGACCATAAAGATTACTATCTATTGCCCTCTTTCAATCATAAATTTCACGAGATAATTAGAAGGCAATATAATATAATTAAAATATATATATACCAACTCTTCTGGCTTTTGAGCATATATGCGAGATGTGTTATTCGGTAGCAATACGCATTCGTGAACTTTAAGAGACAAACTACAGTTAAAAATTTTTAGCGATTGTAAAGCTAGCACAGTACAATTAATGTAATAGGTAGATGGGTAGATGATATGGAGTAGGGAAAAGAACTCTCATTTTATGGGTTAGGGCTCGAGATCCATTCATTTATTATATTTGTCTTTTAGTTTATCGTAACCAACAATAAAGATTTTCGCCCACATCGGGCTTTTGATTTAGTCAATACAAGATCCAGTAACCATAAAGACATAACCAGATAGATCCCTAGGTAGGATCATCTAAAAATTCCGATATATCATACCCAAGTAAATTTTCTTCTTCACCTAGCAATTGAACACGATCGTTACTTCCATCAGGATATATCAACTGAACAGATTTAAAGTCTTCAGCACAAAGTGCATATTTAAGAATAGAGGTATATCGACCATCTTTTTGAAATCTTTGTTGATGTTCTTGCAATTTGTCTCCATCCCGCAAAAGTTCAATGGCCCAGTTATGCTGATCATTTATATAAAAATCTAAGTAGCCCACTGACCCGAATACTGCTCCAACATCTACAGAAGCATAAATGTCCACAGGAAGAACTTGCATTGATGCACAGTAGAACTCCATTTGCCATACGCTTTCAAGAAGACGACAATCATTGCCTACACCCAAGCTTTTTTGTAACACCTTAGAGTTCATTTTTGCGAACACCGAAATGATGAAGTCCTTGAATGAATTAGGTGGTGATTTAGACCGCGTCACTGAACCAAACCGATTTTGAAGATATGTTGCTCGAAGCAATGGTGCTGGAAAGTTAATGGTTGAATAACCTGCTTTTGTCATTCCAGTATCAACAAGAATATTTGTCTTAATAATTCGACTCTTAAGCGGAATTGCATTGGTTAGAATTTCAAGACCCCCTTTCTTGAAGAGTACAGTATCGGCGATTCTCTTTTCTTCATCTAACATATCAGTAATTTTTGGCATTGCACGAATATCCTAGAAAAAAGTACACCATATAAAAATTTTCAGTAAATATCAGTCATTAGAATTATTACAAAAACATATATTTACCTTAAAATGATCATTAAAATCACGAGATTTGAGATAAGCAAAAACTTTTGCAAATGTCAAACGCTCAAAAGTATGTTTGACGAATCTCATATGAATTTGGTTCATGGTAAAGGCAACTAAACCGGGATGGAGAGCTGTTATTTCAGACACATAGCGAGAAAGAAGCGGAATGTCTTCTTCTTTTAACATTTGAAGATTTTTCTCACAAAAATAATTAAAGTAACTGTTAAATTCTTCTCTGGTAAAACAAACGTCTTCAAATCCCCACGTGTTGCTTTTTTGAAGAGAGCATGGTGAAATATCCATAATTGCATGATCTCCACGAGCAGTGTAAGCACCATAATGCCCATATGAAGCAAATGCTACAATATGAAGACCTGAGGATTGTAGTATGCGTTTAAACGAATTCCAAAATACATTTCCACCATGGCGAGGTTCGTCCTCATTCTCTGGCTTATAAATCTTTTGTACCTCATCAATAATAAGAAATGTTGTTTTATCACATTTATCGATAAATTCATTCCAAGTCACATTCATAAGCTCTTTAAATCTTTCTGCAAATGTCCATGACACATCATCCATAGCAATGAAATGCGAAAAACACGTTTCAATCCTTTTTTTACTTCGTCTGATTGGAGCAGGCTATGCTCAAGTAGTTGCGCAAGTGCAGTTTTGCCGGCCATTGGTGGTGACCGGACTAGAATAATACGTCTCTCTAGCAGACATTTAAGCAGTCTGTGGATAGTTGGTTCTCTCTTACATACGGTACCAAGAGTAAGATCAACACCTTCGTAGGCATCACCACGTTCTTCTCCTTTATAAGTTGTTCCTCCAAGACCTCCTATTAAATGCAAAATAGGAAAATAAATGCACATTGGTACGAGAGTCAAAAGATTATAGCTTTATACCTAGCCTTGCGCCTGTTGAGTTATTATCGTGTGAAGGAGATTAAGAAATGAAAAAATGCAATTAGTCAATATCGCAAAATTTCCTTGTTTGAGAGGTAAAACACTTACCAATGGTGGTGGGTTGTTGTACAATTACTCGGATGTAAGTACTAGATTTATCAAAATGATCGTTTATAATTTCGAATGAAGCCACCTCTTCACCTCCGAGTTCTTCTTTAATGTTAATTTCGACAGGTATTTTAATTTTCTGGTTTTCTTTGCTTTGAGGAATACTAACTTTCCATAACCTCAGTTTGTTTGCGGGAATGTCAAACTCCGCCTCCTCCTTGATCAACTTTTTGAGGTGCCCAACGGTCATGTCACTTCTGATATCAACAGGGAAAGAGTTCCCGATGGATTCACCTAAAACGACGCAAAAGACCTGGAAACTCATTAAAAAAATATTATAAAATTGTATTATTCAAAATTTCTAATACCATGATTTCTGCGGTACCGGATAACATTGCGTGTATAAATTACTAATGTTATAAAAATGGTTAGAGTGTTCGTGTTTAAAGGAAAAAAATTTTTCAGTGAAAAGTACGTAACTGACGTATTTATAATTAAACCTCCGCTCAGGATTCATCGAGTAATATTTTTCTTATAAAACACACAGTCGAGCCAATAACATTTCACAAAAAAAACAATATATAAGTAGCTATGTCTATCACTTTGCTTTGCCTCGTTAAAGGCCTGTTCATATTGATAAGGACCAGCTTGTTGGGGACCTCAAAAAGGTTATTAAGGCGGAAAATATTCAAACTTTCTCTGGTGCTGACGCCAAAGACATCAAGCTATGGAAGGTGACGATCCCTGGCGATCACGACGATCAGTTGCGGAATCTCTCACTTCAGGATAGTGACGAGCTGTTGGCAATAAGAAATACTTTCCTGTCTCACCTGCCGAGGAACATATCCATATCATTGTCGAACAACCCGTACAAACCACCACTTCAAACCGTGAACAGGAATTGCTCGACCGAATCGCGTCATTGGAGGCATCGATTAACAAGTCTGTCCATGGTGCGTATATAAAATTTCTTGGCAAAAACAGTTCCCTCAGGGACGATCAGACTATATCCTGAAAAAAGATTTTTTACTAATCAGCTGTTGTATTTCAGAATTCGATGTTGTCATAAGCCCGAAAAGAACGAAGGGATTCAAGTGGACCGGCTCTTGAAAATGATGGTGCCGTGTTCAACGTCGTGTGCGATAGCGGAAAATACTCACCTCGAAACGACCAAGCATTGCGTGAAATGCTCCGATTGCTGGTATCAAAGAATAACCTCAAGTTTACCGTGTTCATAGAGACTCCCTCAAAGGCTTTCTCAGATTGGACCCTCGACTCGGTTTGCCAACTTTACGGCCTTAGTGGTGAAACGGTGGATCCAACATTGGCTGTGTTTCCGGTTTAGTGTTGAACCATCGCATGAATCGTTTGAAAATCTTATGATCGAATTAAATTCCGCCTTGACAACACCCCGATCAATTTGCTATCGATAGAGGCCATGAAATCTATATACGTCTATTCATACCTGCTTGCTGGAGCGAATAACTTCAAGGGAATGTTTGAGATCCGCCCTCAAAAGAATATTTCTGGTCCTATTCTGTCGATTTCGCAGTTGACTTACTCCGAACAGCAAAAACAGTGGGGGTTACTGAAGTTAAGAAAGAAGATTTTGTTAAAGGCGTTGCCCAATGTGAGTTCAGCTCGAGTCGTCTTTGTCGAATCGTAAACGCAAGGCTAGTGAGGTGGAGGAGGAACCAACAGTTGGAAAATTTTTTGGGATAGTCACCGATGCCGAAAAATTCTACTTTATGGAATGTTCGCTGGATGAAGATAGACCGAAATTCAAACTATCGAAACCGGTAATTGTTGCGTATGATGATGCTGATATGAAAGCCAAGGTAAAGAAAGTGCTTTCTCATATTATCTGGTTATTGGAGGAGTAATCTTACAGAAGAGTCGGGTTAGATCAGACGAAAAATATCACCTGTATCTGCTACGGAAGTAGCGTTGCTCTGCAACTGACGTCGTCTCGTTTATGCTTTATTCGTAATAAAGAAATCATTTTTTATTCCGGGTAAAATGTTGTGTCACGTGATAGTGATGTAACTCGACCGTGACTGAGTAGACATGATCTCGAAGTTTGGCAGTTTTTTGATCAATAAAGTCTACCCATATTTGGGCTTTGTATTTTTATTGCGTAGTGTGTAACATAGAATCGCCGAAAAATTAGCACCTTGTGCTTGCTCCGCTAAACCATATGCTTGTAATACACCCGAAATAGATCCCACATGCTTATGCGATAATTATCCACATACCCATAGTACATGAGCGATTTATACATACAGTAAATATCGCCACAAATAAATTCTTTAAAATCAACAATTCTTACTACAATTTAATATACATCACCGCAAAATATAACGATTATACACAACTTAAAAATGAATCGTGCTTTATCAATTAATACTGAACCAAATCTAATAGGTCTAAAATCTTTATAAATCGCTAAACATCTAGTATACTTATAACAGATAATAGGTCATATAAATGGCTAGCATAGGTGTAAGACATGGAACCGATTGTACCGAAGCTGAATGGGATGAATATGTAGAGATGCCTCAAGTTCGTACTAATGAAACTCCTAGCGAATGGATGGATCGAATTTGGTCTCGCTTACAGTATTTCAGAGAAAATGATCTATTACCAACTGAAAGTAAAAAATATCTTGAAGCTAGGAAGTTAATAACATATTGGAGTGAAGTTAATGGATTTTATAAAAGCTACGCACCTGAAATTGGTATTGCTATCTGTTTCTCATGTAATCACTTAGTATATACTGGAAAACGAACCAAAAATATTGGTAATTATAACCATATAGGAATGGAAAGACATTGGGCTTCTCATTATATAGGAAATACATATTGTGGAATAAATTATGATGAGTACTTACTGAGAGTCGAACAAAAATCTATTTTAGGATATGATTTCGATAATGAGTATGCATTACACAGATATGAAGTGTGGAAACAGAATGCTATCAAAAGAATACAACGTGCAAGAAAAATTGGTAAGAAAATTCGAGCATGTACAATAATACAACGTAAATTCATTGAATATATGTATAAACCCGATGGTCTCTGTGCTTCATAATTTGCATTACACTATCAATTATTATGGACAATTCGAGAAGAAATGCAACAAGTTAACAATATATAATACATATATATCTATTTAAAATAAAATCATCTGAGGTATTCCTGAGGGCTGGTACTTTAGACTTTATTTCGTTATCCCCGAGGGCTGGTAACATTTTTTACTTTGATTTTTTTCATATCAACCTGTTTTATGGGACACAAAAATCCCTAGTATAGATAATAGATCATACTTGTTATTTTTACATCTACTCTAACTCCAAAACACGGCAGGATTCGGTCAGCTTAAAAATATAAGTGGCAGATAAGATGTATTTATATTAATGTACCAATAAATAATGAAAAAATAATTATTTGATTGCTATACGTTTTATTCATCTAATTTCAGGGGGGTATCCCAACCGAGTCTAACTGCTAGAGGATCGTCTATTGACTTAGTAAAATCGAAAACTATAAATTCTCGATTCCGAAAATGCTTATCAATAATTTTAGATGCCTTTTTTGGATCATCTGTATATTGACGTACGATTCTACTAATATCGTCTCTACTACCCGAACCCCGAAATAGGCATAAATGTGAGATATTTTCGCGAATAATTTTAGGTGTTTGTGTATATTTCTGTGATACGTATATTGGCGAGATATTTTGATGCCGGCCACTAATAAAATAGGGAATAATCCGATTTTGAATTTTTTTAGATTCGGCACATACAGTAGATCTTCGAAAACAACAACTGTACTTCGCTCTGGAGAGAATTTAGTTATATCGGGGATCTTGTCTGGTGCTATCTTTTTGAATGTTACATCCTCTCGATATGGTTTCGGGGCATTTGCAAAGATCTGATATGCATTTTTTACTAACTCCCATTTCGGTTCAGAATGCTTCGCTACTAATACCAGATCATCATTTCTAATATACCGATCGCCTTTTTTCCCATTGAACATACATTTGAGTTTCTTACCTAACATGAGATTTATTTCCATATTAGTTTTTCCACTATTTGAGCTTCCATTTATGAGCATCCTAAATGGGCAGTCTGGTGAATACCTATTACCCTTCATTCTTCTGACGATTTTTTTTTAGATGTCTCATTGATATTATATACATATATGGGCATTTCATCCTGATCAAGCTAAGTTATTAATTATTATATCTGAAAAATAAGGATCTTTATTGCTATATATGTGTCAGAGAATTATCCAATTTTTTATTGCAGAGCAATGGTGATGCTAAGCATCAGATCTTTGATCTCTCTTCGAACCTATAATGATATACCCGACTCACTATTTACATCTGAATACCAACTGATATATTGAGAATAGGATTTTTATTTTGCAAGGTTATAATTGCATTTGTACTAACTTTCTCACAATCCTCAATATCAAGTTTCTGGAGATTATACAAATTTGCTAATGCAGACATAGATACATCAGTAATATTGCATCCCTTAAGATAGAGCTGTTCAAGTTTTGAGCATGATTGTACTATATTGCAAATAGACTCATCAGATACAAGATGACACCCAACAAAGTTGAGATATTTAAGATTTGAGTTAGATTGCACAATTTTTTTAACTATTATATAAGTAATCTCTTCACACCCTTCCAATATATATTTTTGCATATTCGTACATGCTTCAGCAATTACATATATACCTTCATCAGTTATTTTTTGGCATTCAATTAAACTTAGACTGTAAAGTTTTGAGCATGATCTAGCAATCTGTTTTAATGATGCATCAGTAATATTACTCCCCCATAAACCAAGATGTTCTAAATATGAGCAGTTTTGTGCAATTAAGACTATAGATGCATTGGTAATACATTTATTATAATCTAATTTTAAGCAACACAAATTAATACATAATTGAGCAACTGTTCTCAATGATATATCAGTTATCTTATAAGATCCAAGTTTTAGGTGTTGTAGATTTGGGCATGAATTCATGATGTTATATAAAGTTGTATCTATCATATTATAAAATTTGCTAGTTTTATACCTTTACTATTGCATGAAATGCCGAGGAATTCCAAAGGACAAATTGGTGCAATCTTATTAATGACTCTATCAGAAAAACCACAACACCATTTGATCTTTAAGTGGCATAAATTAGGACAGGATCTAGCAATCTTATACAGCACATCATTAGAGACCTTGCATCTAGAGAAATGAAGCCAAAGTAAATATGAAGCATGTGATTTATATTTTCCACACATTACTTTTTTAAAAATTTTCCACAGTATACATGGATTTTTTAAGTCACCGATAAATTCAACCTTTCTTCATAATATTGGGGCAGAACATAAATACCATAACCGGTTAACAAATAAAGTCAGGTATAATGTTTTATTTTCAGCAAGATATGTGAAAATTTCAGTTTAAATTTCAGGGAGATATAGAGGATGTAGACCCAAAGTGTCATTGCTTTGCAATAATTTAATGTACGACATGGGTACTTATATTTTGCGAATTTATTCTTTATGCGATAAATAACCTTTCCTTTGCAATTTGCTTTTTATGTATGGGAATAAATCAGCGACATATGGTATTGAAATAAGATCTATACCTTGCTCCTTGCATATATCACACTTTTTTTGATCTCTGATTTTTTGTTGTTCTAAGTCTATCTTGCCTTGCTTATGAAACATTGGATTCTCAAAAAAATGTTGAGAGCCCTGGAATTCGTATGCCAATTTTAACTCTTCGTTATACCCGTCTAATTGCATCCCATTCAAAAATGATGGTTTACAAGATGGAAATTTCTTACCTAACAGATCTTCGAAAATACAGTATATCTACATCTTCGCTCATCGATGTGATGGAAACAAAGGGGACACCATTCAAACTTTCTCGCGATTAATGGAAATGGATACTCAAACTGATGCTTTTCGTTTTCACAGGACCAGAGATATACTGTACATTCATTCCGTTTATCCGCTGAGTTTTCATGATACAATGTCCATCACGCTTTCTGGCGTATTCCTCAGCCCGAGATGCTTCAGAATTTGGTCGGTTATAGATCGTCATAGGAATAAGTATACTGTACATAGCAAAAAAAATATTTTTATTGGTGTGTAAAATCGGTGGAAGCTTTGTTAGAATATCGATCCTAGAAATTCGAAATGAAATCACTATTGAATATTTGATATATTAATATTAAGATTCAGAAAGATTAATCGATTAAACCTAGTGCAAATAGTTCATCTCGAATATTCTTTTCTAGATCATCATCATACCATACATAAAAGAGATATATGTCGTTCTCGACGCATAAATCTTTCTTGAGTTGATCCCGTTCTTGCTGTTTGATAAAATTATTTGGATCTCCTCTATGAAAAAACTTGTGGTATTTTTTATTTTGTTCACCCTGCACTTCAATAGCAAATCCGAATTCATAATAGGGAATATCGAGCTCTAATCCTGTTGGGTACTTATTTGTTTTTAGGAAATCAGATCTACGATTCTTGGATGGTAGTGTGCCTAATAATTCAGTTACTATTTTTCGGCAAAATTCTTGTCTCTTCCAAGGGCAAAAGGGACACCACGTTCCTGAATTTTTTACATGATTAAGAGTTGCATTCCATTCATTCTTTTTCACATTGCCATCTTAATTTTGTATGTGCACCGTCATAATTTTCAGATAGACATAATCCATTATTTCGTATTGCAATTTCTCGGGCTATTTCGATAGAGAGTTTTGCATTACCTGCGCAATGTGGACGCCAAGTATCTAAATTTCTTACACATACAAGGCTTGAACTCCATTGATGCCCTTTATTACATTCCCATAAAAGCGGAGACGTAAGATTAGCATATTTTTCAGATAAACATTTCCCGCCTTTATGATTAGCAATTTCACTAGCAAGTTCAAGATTACAAGAATAACGACCTGAACAATAAGGACACCATGTATTGCGATTTTTTATTGTATTGAGTGATGTATACCATATATGATTATGGGCGCATTTCCACAATAATGGAGATTTACAATCGATATAATTTTCAGATAGGCATTCTCCACCTCTGGATTGAGCAATTTTTTTGGCGACATCGAGGCCAAGTTTGCGATTAGTCCTCATACATTTTGGACACTACGTTCCTTTATCTTGTATATTTCAAAGAGATACAAACCATTAATGACCCTCCGCACATCTCCAGTGTAGTGGAGAAGTATTATTGATATATTGCAAAGAAAGACAACTACCTCCTCGATCGTGTGCTATTTTTCTGACATTTTCGAGAAATCGTATTTTATGATCTTTCCATCGTGGACATTTTGGGCACCATGTACCGCTAGTCCTCACATTATGTTAAGCATGAATCCCATTCGTGTCCCGAAGCACAACGCCATCTCAATGGTATTCTATTATGAATATAATTCTCAGAAAGTCACTCACCACCCCGTTCTCTAGCAAGTTTACAAGCATCAGCCAAAGTCAATCGGAATCGCATTTTTAAGAAATGTTTCTAATGTACGAACTATTATTTAAAATGCTTTGTGGGGGGTATTGCAAAGTCTCTAAATTAACTCGAAAAAGTTTTTCACGTACAAATCCGCGTGACGGGGCATATTCTCCGTCTAAATAATATAAAACTGGTTCGTTTTTCGTTACCATGATTTTGCGGATTTTATGCAAAGAAGGGCTCAAAATTTCATCATTGCCCGCATTTGATTTTCCATACCCCCTTCCCATTCCGTATTAGCGAGTAAGTAACGAACAGTATCCCCCTTTTTTAATTTTTCTTCGTCTTTACCAACTGAATGGTTGTATTTTGTAGATGGTCTAGACTCCACCCTATCCAATCTAATTGCCTTCACAGGTGCTAATCCCCATTTCTTTGATCCTGGCGCTCGTATAAGTCGTGTTGGATAATTATTCGGATATTCAAGAACTTTTGGTAAATGCTTAACCCATGCCCTTATTAATTTAGGATTTCTTGATATAGTTTCAATGATGGACTGAACTTTGTACAGTATTTCTGCTAATGTCTTACAAAACCTGTCTACGATTGCAAGACCTTGATGAGAATATGGGCCTATAACTCGGATTGTAACATTATATGATTCCATTGTTTTTTAGGTTTCACCCATAAATTCTCTACCACTATCGCATTGTAATAAATCAGGCCAGGTAAGAGGCATGTTCGAATTATCATAGATTTTCTTAAATGTTTTGGCAACTTCTGAACTGTTCTTAGATATAAATGGAATAGCCCATTTAAAACGAGATGCAATATCTATAATAGTAGGTGCCCAATTATACTTCTTTTTATTAATGGTATCATTTGTAAGGCGTAACAAATCACACATATGTATGCAGTTTCGACGTGAAATTTTACCATAACTAACCCGTGAGGTATCTTTTGGCGATGGTATGTATTTTTGCCTTTCATTCTGGTTTATGAACCATTCACGAACTTTTTTATATGGGAAATTATATCCTTTATCTCTTATAGCATTATATAACTTTCAAGCATTGAAATGATAACCAGTTGATTGGTAAAAAAGCAATTTACAAATTATGTTTACCTCCTCGTCCGGATCGATTCTAATAATAGTCGTACTCAATTTATGTGAAGCATGGTCTAAGGATCTACTAATTTTTTGATATATTTTATTATAGCAATAAACTATGTTTCAGCAAAGTCAAGAGATAAGAGATAAAATCTTCTTTTCTATGAAAGACATATTATACTGTAAAAATAGCTATAGCATTTCGTCGATCACACTCCGATTGAATATCTCGTGGGCCAAGCTCTAATTGGGAATTGGAATTGAAGCAGGTAAATCAAACTTTAAGAGATGAGTTATCAAATGAAGTTTCAATCAAAAAATCGAATGAGAAATATATAAAGAATCTGGAACATAAATATATCAGATATGAAAAAGAAATCCAATCTCTCAATAAAGAACTGAAATGGCTCGAGAATGCTTCAAAAGAAGAAAAAGCTGAGTTGAAATCAGAAATCTCTAACCTTAAGAAACAGCTCTTATATAGCAAAAAAAAAAAAATCCAGGCTAAAGATTTTCATAATATTAATATAGAGAGGCAATTATAAGAATTGGAGGAGAAAGTTCAATATCTGAAAGATCGAATCAAAGTTATTTCCTTCAGAAAAAATTCTCCCAATCAAGGAAATTCCCAGATCTTTTATATCCAGATATGACGAATCTTAACCTTTTTATACAAATTGATTGAGCTTAAATCGTATTTAAAATCATATTAGAGGAGCTGGGACACTATTAAATAATTCTATTAATATTATAAATGGTATTAGAGATTCCCTGAATGATGTCTATCTTAATTACTAAAATGCATTCCAGGATATAAATGATGTTATAGCCCAATGAGATAATCATGACAATCAGATAGTTCAGTTACAATAGGATGTCAATTTCTATAAACAACAGAATTCCAATCTTCAGAATCAAGTTAATCAGCTTATTCAAAATAATTTTCAGAATCAAGTCAATCAAATTACCCAAGAACAAGATAACTTACGAAATCAAGTTAATTATCTTACTTAAGAACATAACAACTTACGAAATCAAGTTAATCGTCTTACTCAAGAATATAACAATTCTCAGAATGATCTTATTTTAATGACCACAACTTATAATAATAAATAGGTGGAATATCATCACTGGTGGAAAATTACTCGTCAATTGGAAAGAGGGACGCAAATGCAGATTAATACTTTATTACTCGATAAACTTGCACTCAATTTTAAACTTTGGAGGTGCCAAATACATAGCAGAGAATTATAACAAAAATATGATATGCGAGGACGTTTATGGCATAATGCAAGCTTGGTATGGGATAAACAGTCTAAACTCAGGCACACTCTTGAAATTATTTTTAAGTCATTTATTTATCACTTAGAACAGGAGCTACAATGATACCAGGCTGATAAAGGATTATTAGAATATAATTGAGATCAGCTCTTTGATAGATATTATAATAAATTCAAGGATCGGAAGGCAAGTCATATCAAGTGAAAAAATAGGAAATGCAATTCACAACAATTAATTTTGAATTTACATGAACAAATTTTACATTTACATAATAATCCACCAATAAATCATCCAAATATGGCAGAGGCTAGACATTTACCAGTATTAAAAATCAATGGCCCCTGCTTTTGCAAAATTTCAACCTTATATAGGTCAAGAACCACCTGATAATTACATAGATAAAGTTATTCAATCATAGGTATATCTTGAAGGACATATAACGGTTCTTGAAACTGCAAATGCTGGAGATTTTGATAATGCAGTCAAATGTAATATTTTAAAATCTATGATGAGTGGAAAATATGTCCCATTACCTGCTAATGATCCCTATACTATTGGAAATCCAGCTATAAACACCCCAGATACATTACGAGCTTATTTAAATGCAAAATATCAAAGAGAAACAATAGGTAGCCAACAATCTGCAATTCAAAAATTGACTCAAGAAAAATATCAACCTTATGATACTCCTGATACCTATGAAACTAGAGTCTGACCACTATTATTGGGAGTAGCAGACAATGATGCGCAAGTTTTAGGATTCCTAAAAAGTCATTTAACAGGCGATTTTTATACTTGGATGAGAATTGCCAATCCAGCGGGTATTAATACATTTTTCACTAAACTAAAAAATATGTGGTTATAACGTAGACCTAATTTGAATGAAGGATCAAATTTAAATCAGGTTCCTGTTGCTAATATATTACCTTTAATTTCTCAACTAGAAACTGATTCATGCCAATTACAAAATAAATTACATTCAGATAATGATAGCATATCCTGAGCTGAAATAAAAAGCATTATAAAATCAGAATTAGCTTTAATACCAACCGCTTCTTCTCAGTCCACACAATTAAATTCTCAAAGAAAAGAAGGACGATTATTATGACCCAGTCAAATGGAACCAGGTGAAATATATCGGGATCCTAATTTACGCTTAAATGACCCAGAATGGCTTCAAATGGATGGGATAATAGATCGTCTTAGTGCTTTAGCAGGTCCATCTTATCTGCAAACTTTCATGGATACAATTAGTAAAGGAGTAATAGATAGAATTACACCTCTCTTACCCAAGAAGAAAAAAGAAATCTCTTCCATTACTGATGATATGGATGGAATCACAAAAGGTATGGCTGAGTTGTCAATAAATGAGGCTATATCCAAAGGTGTATCTAAAGGTATATCACAAGGGATGAAGGAAGTATATGCTGTTAATGTATCATCCAAACACCGCTGTTCAAAATGTCATAGAACTGGTCATCATTAAAATTCTTCTAGATGTCCGAAAAATAAAAAGAAAAGCAGATCTAAGAGAAAAGGTAAGGTTAATATGGCTAACAATGACTCTGATTCCAATTCCGATTCTGATTATAACTCTTCCGATAATGATTCTGATTCTGGATCTGATTCTGATAATGCCTCCTATGAAACTGAGAGTATGAATGTTAACATTTCCAGGGTAAAAAAAAAAAGTAAAACAGAAAAGTAAATCAGATAAATTATCATCTAAAAAGAAGTCTAGTCCAAAGAAATATACTTCACAAAAATCACAAAAGAAATCAGGTACAATTATCGACTCACAGATCTGAAAAATTATTCTAGATATGTTTAATGATCCAGAGGTTATAGAAACGATTAAAAACAATATTATTAACATGAATTTATCTGTTACAAGACCTGATTTTATGAATTATCGAGATCCAGTCTCAGAAATACCAGAGTCTGATGGGGAGGATGAAATGCTAAGAGATCCTATGGAGATAGATTTTGTCTGTCGGAAAGAACCCGTAATTAGTATTGCAACTATACCAGTTAAAATCAAACGCTTAAAAATTCCGGCATTGGTACTAGATAGTGACACTGAACCTGCAATCATATCATAAGATATTGTTAAACGTGTAGGTGGAAAAATAGACACGCCAGAAAAATATAATCTTAGTGGTGTTGCTACTGTTCCAACAGAATCTGTTGGTATTACTCATAATTTACCAATAACATTTTCTCCAGGTTTTACTATACGTGAAGATTTTGTAGTTGTACGAGTTCCCAAACCGACATTAATATTCCCAAATCCACTTCTCAAAAAATATAAATGTGCCGTAGACTGGGGTAATGATAAAATAAAAATTCATTATAATGAAGATTTTATTATTCCGGTTACTATGCATAAAGCCAAGAATAAGCTCGAAGTAAATTGCACTACCACATCCCAGGATGATAAGCCCTTGATACCTGATCAAATTTCTCAGAAAGTCGATAGTAATGAAAGTGATAATGAACCATTGGAGGAATGGCATGCTCCTGCGGGTTTTAGTCCAGATTTTGACAATTCATTAAAAAAAATGCGTAAATTGTGAGAGGGCTATCAAAATTATTACTGAGATTAATATTCGTAAC